AAAATTTATACTTGTGATGAAGGTTGGAAGTCACTTTATATATTTATTTTCTTTTTATTATATTCTTTCTTTTCCCCTGCACTTTTTATTCTTTTTTTCTATTCTATTTCTCTAAGTTTAGTTTGTATTCGTTTTTACTACTGTTATCAAAATTCTTAATAAAAATTATATTAAAACAAAAAGAGCTCAGTGAGGGGTGAAATCTTTGGGTGCGTTGTTCATGGCTTAAACTGAATTGGCTGTTTTCTCTCTGCATCAAGCTTAATACTTATAGATAAAAAGATTAAAAAAAATACAACAGTATTAAAAGATTTATTCTTGTTTGTTTTTTTTAAAAACCACTATAATACTGTTCATTTTAAAACCTTCTGTAATATGTAAAAGTTAGAAAAACAACTTGATTTCTACAGTTTACATATTTTAGCAGGAAAATTTGTCCTAAGCTTATAACAAAAGTACCTTAAGCATAGTCACCATTAATAAAGGAAAACAGTATATCTACAGAAAGAGAGACGAAAAGAAAGAAAGACAGTATGGAAGCAAAACACTATACAGCTGACTTTCTACAACCAGTACTCAATATCTGATTTTAAGCAGTGGTAGTAATAACTGTACCGTATCCTATGTAAATGTACATAAGTAACTCTGAACATTTTCAATGTATATTTTTCCCCTGAAGGCATTATATGTAAACTATCTGCTACAGCATTACATAATCATCCCTTGTTCTTTCGCATGATCTTAAGTCCATTAGGTAGAATTTGGCCTCTTCAAACTAGAGGGTGGAAAGACTCTCTGTTCATCCATTCTCTTCCCCTGCGATCTCAAAATAAGGCTGAAGAAATCTTCATCAGGAACAGTTGGCCCTTTTGGAATGTTTGGTGGTGGTTCACATCTCTGGTCATCTAATCTAGAGCCCTGAAAATAAAGACCAAATTAAAACCACTGTTTTATTTTACAATTCCAGCTAGTCCATTTTTCATGTGAACACTACTGGCATCCATTTAAAATCTGGGTTCTTCCTGAACCATTTTGGGCAGTTATTCCAACAGATTAGATGACTTTTATTTTAAATGTATATTGACCTGATGAACAAAAACTTGCATCTAAAAGAAGACAGAGAATTTCACATGGGAGAGGGGACAGGCTGGCAATGAAATGCTACCTGCATCCCTACGTACAGCAAGTTAGCTGCCAGCAAAGGGAAACCCTCTCTTCTGTACCTAGTACAGGAAGGGAAAAAGCTGCTGAAAATGGGATAGAACCCTCCATCCTTAGTTTTCTGGTTGGCTAGTAACTTGTGGGCACAAGACTGCGCTCCAACATATTCTTCTCTGTGAGGATGGCCCACCAACCCCAACAGGACTTAACAAAATACACAATGATTGCTGTATTCAACCTGTCAAAAAAATCTAATCTGTGTTTAATTTAGATTTAAAATTCACCTTTAAAAACTGTTCAGTACTGCAAGCTGAAGTATTTGTTTTGTAGAACCAATCATCTCTCAAACATGATTTGGAAGAATTGCTTTGGACTTGCAGAGAGGCACAGCACTTCTATACTACTCACTATATGGTTCACTATGAACAAACAACATGCTTACCATCATTATTTTTGCACCAAAAACAAAACAAAACAAATCAAAAGACTGAACATCTACTGTCTATGCTGAAATAGCCAGTTTTAAAGTCTACAATGGAGAATCAATTTCATAGCTCATTATGATGCACATTCATTTTCCTACATTAACTTTATCTTTAATGGCTGTGCAATGCTTTAGAACAGGTGCATCAAAATGTGCAGCAGTGTGAATGCAGCTCATCTGCAATTCATTACAACTGTGCAACCCCAGAAGCATGCAGCTGCTTTAATAAGTCACAAACAAGGGCTGCACTCATACTTCTGAGACATTTCTTCAACAGCACAGTCCTGTTACCTTTAACATGACTATTCAAACTTCCTATTATAAATCTGTTGGCATACGGGTAGTCCACGACTTTATGACCATTTGTTCAGTGACTGTTTGAAGTTACAACGGCACTGAATGAAAGGACTTATGGCCCGTGCCCGAAGTTAAAGCCGTTGCAGTGCCACCACATTCACATGATCAAAATTTGGGTGCCTACCAGCATTTACGACTGCAGAGGCGCTTCAAATCCCCCTACCCATCTCCCCCCACCTGTGCCCCCTTTTGGCTGCCCTGCACCCTGCCTTGTGGGGTGGCAAGCAGTCCCTGAGCCGCAGCACAGCATGAAGCTGCAGCCGCCCCAGGCCAACCGCATGAAGCTGCCCCAGGAAGCATTCATTTGCCCAGCTGCCTTCTCTTCCAGGTCCTTGCACTGATCTTTCACCTTTTGTGCCCAGCCCCTACGGCCAAAGCAGAAGTGCCTCACTGCCTTTGCTGCCTCCTTTTCGGATAGAGCTTCTCTGGTGAACTTTTCCTCCATGTGGCTCCCTGAGCTTTTGGTAAGCTGCGCTGATGTCGGAGAGACTTTAGAAAGACAGGGCAGCTTTATGAAATCAGCACAGCCTTCAGAAAGCTGTGCTGCCTTTCTGAAGGCTCTCCAAAGTCAGCGCAGCTTTATAAAGTCTGTGTAGTTTTCCAAAGGGAGCCACATGGAGGAAAAGTTCACCAGAGAAGCTGGGTGTGAAAAGGAGACAGCAAAAGCAGTGAGGTGTTTCTGCTTTGGCCGCGGGGGCTGAGCGCAAAAGGCGAAGATCAGTGCAGGGAACTGGGAGAGAAGGCAGCTGGGCAAACAAATGCTTCCTGGGGTAGCTTGGAGCAGCTGGACTGAGGTGGCTGCAGCTTCCTTGGGGCGGCTTCGTGCAGCTGGGCTGGGGCAGTTGCAGCTTCGTGCTGTGCTATGGCTCAGGGGCTTCTTACAACCTCAGAGCCACGCAGTTCTGGGGCTGCTTGCTGCCCTGCAAGGAAGGGTGCAGGGTGGCCAAAAGGGCAGAATGGGGGGGAGATAGGCAGGTGGACAGAGCTGGAGGCAGTCACTTACCTTACTGAGCCTCGGGGCTTGGAGGTACCAAGCTGGGAATGGCTTGGATTGGAGTGGGTCCTCGGCTAACAACTGGTGAAATTTGCTTAATGACAATAAGGGAAATTGCTGGGATTGCAGTCACTAAGCAATGCGGTCACATGATATCTCACCTTACAACAACATTGCTCAAAGACAGAAATTCTGGTCTCAGCTGTTTAACACTTCAGAAGAGGTACAAATTCTTGACTTGCTCTATAATGCATTATGAAGCAGGAATGCTATTTAAAGCCCCATTGCAATTCGAGAAGATAAGTTCTAGGCTGAGAATTTTGTTTTAATAGAACAAAGAACTGGGAAATCCAATCTATTCTTCTATTTTTGATCTCATGTCAAAGGGCTGAACTAAACATTATCAGATGAAATTGTTTAATCAGCATTAAAAATTAAATAAAATTATCATATGCCTTTTTTTTTTTTTTTTTTGCACCTCTGAAGTTACTGAATGACTCAGCTGAAAAAAGATACCATTGTGAGGCTCTGTCAAACAACTATTTCTTTTAGGATGTCCTCCAGCTCTGCCTCCAGCTCTATCCACCTGCCTATCTCCCCCCCATTCTGCCCTAGTACATGCCACACAGAATATCCAATCAACTAGAAAACTCACCTGGCATTTTATTAATATATCAAAGAAGTCATCATCTGGTTCACTGTTGCTGCTGGCCATCAGGTGACCAAGGACTGATTGGCTATTATGCTGATTCAGACGAAGTCCAGGTAAATTGCTGGCACTGGCTCGCTGATCATCTAAACGTCTACTCTGAGAACTAGCAAGCATATCTAAAAATTCATCTGTATGGGGAGAGAGCATCGAAGCAGAAAAGGCTGCAAAGAAAAACAAAATATTGTATGTAGAAAGCAGCAAGATGTGCTTACAGTAGTATCTAATTTCATTAAAGAGGTGGCAATGTTATATGGGTTTTATAATTAATTACATTTTTTCATAATTCTGGATGGTGTGGAAGAAGCTGTCACTGTCAGTCTATTCCTTTCCTGGAAACAATATCGTTGATCATCCATACGGTTGCTCTGAAATCGGCTCAACAAGTCAAAAAATCCTTCATCTCCAGGGACATCTAAGCTGCTTTTCTTAAAAATTAATAAAATACAAGAGTAAATACAAGTTATACCAACCATTTTTGAAGGAGAATTTTAATTCTATCGACATAACTCATGGCAAAATAAGCATAATTATGAGAGAGAAATGAAAAGGGCCGGTGAGGAAAGTCTGTAAAAGTACTGGGGCTAAGCAGTAAATTTGATCTAAATCTATCTTAACATAAAAAAGCATTTCAGCTTAATATCTGACCTATAGATACAAGCTTTATTATCAAACATACAGTTCACGTGTATCAACAAAACTCACCTATTCTCCCTTCACTTCTAAATATTTATTCATACATAAATATTATTTGATTTAATTGAGCTGATTTCTAACTTCTAATCTCACAATTAGTCTGAGATTATCTAAACATTCATATGCTCTGAATTGGTCACAATTGGAGTGGCATGTAAGCCTAGTAAATAAACATACGAGAGTTTTCTTTTTCAAAAATTAGGCAAAGCAATAAAAATTCACATATTTCCAAAAATGTCTTCACAGTAGTAATTTCAGACATATATAAATACTGAAATTTTAAAATTTTATTTCTCCACAAATACCTTCTGTGAATTTAGTCGATGGTCAATAGAATTACTAGCATCCTGGAGAACTTTAGAAGAAGTAATATTTTTGTATTTTTTGCCTTTTAATCGATTTACAAAGTGTAGTTTTGCTGAAGGTTTGGGAACTAATTGTTTCTGTTTGGCTAGAATTTCACTGTTCCAATCCTGAACCTAGGAAACAAGTAACAATGTATATTAAACTATACAGAAAACAGTTTTTCACTATATTAAATGCTGGTTAACTTAATTTTTCCACTACATTAAAACATGACTAATTTGTTCATGTTTGCAAAACTAGTACTTGAACCAACAATGCAAGCCAAATTTGACCATAATAGCAGAAAAACTTCCTTCTCAGCAAATTCTACACTTCCTAAACATACAATGGCCTTGTTCTTCCTGATTCTTTATATAGTAAATGTAATGTTTAAAATATTTTGCCTATGAAACTTGGAAAGCTAAAGATTTCCTGCAGGTCTTCCCTCTTTCCTTCTCTCTTTCAGCATGCCTTCGGGCTCTGAACAGTAGTATTCACAGGGGGAGTGGGGGTATCAAAGAAGTCAAGGCTTGGATCATGAATGCCACCCTGACATTTTTGACCTACTCCCACAAATGCCACTAGCTACATATAGGCTCAGAGCGTTTATCAGAAAGTAAAGATAACAAAGCAGCTGGAAACCCGAGATTTCCAGCCAGCCCTCCCTCCCAAACTGAAAATGAAACGAAACAGAAACTACTGTTGGGTAAGGTAAAAAAGAGCAATCTGGACTTGCAGGGAGAAGAAAAAAAGAGAGAGGGAAGCTTTAGAGTCCAGTGGACAACATCAACAGATTAATTCTAAACAAGAGTAAGTCTCTACCTGATTTGTTGTTTTCAATTATTTAAGACTTTAAGTGGCAAACATCCTCACTATTTAGCACAGATTAAAATTCTGAACATCATCTGTCTTAAATATTGCCAATCTACAGCTGCACACTACTAATCTAATCTTTAAACCAATACCACATGAAAGCCAAAGCATTTATATCTTAAATTCTTCAGTTAAAATGTAAAGTTTATAATCATGTTATCAGTTCCTCAGTAGAAGTACCTCGAGGTTTGACATCACCCTGAGGGAAGCTTATAGAAACTCACCTTACCTATACAAATGGTTCCATCTATATTTGTCTAGAATGTATTCAGAATACTGTTCATTTCCAGGAGTACATACCTTCCTGGATTATACCATTATTTGGTTACTTTTACTAGTTGCATTTATTGCATCTGTATGCAGCTAACAATAGCATTCACAATGAAAGGCAAATATAAAGCAATATATGTTAGGACTTTCTCATGGGAAGAAATGCATCTCGCTATCTTCAAAATATATTGTTATGGC